TATGGGTAAAACAGCAGCAGCAGAGACATACAGTAGGAGTACTCAAAAATAAGTATACTCAATATAAAATATTTTTTCATAATGTGTTACTAGTAGATGTTTTATTTCATGGGATGGTAATAAAGGTAGACTTAAACCAGTAAATATCTGCTAAATCTAGGGTTTTCTGTAAGATACAGGAATAGTTAGAAGGAGGAGTGGATTTATCCTTTCTGAAAAGCATAGACTGTATTTCTACAGGAAAAGAAAGGGAGAGGGAATGGATTCACCACTTCAAGCATCAGTGATTTTTTGGATTAGGTAATGTAATCTACTTGAACACTGAGCTAACTTTGGATTTGAAAGCTGTGTTAACATGGCTGTTAGGCTCAGCTAATGAACCACTTAGAAACAGAGACCACAAGTTTCAATTCACCACTCATGAGCACTGTTAGACTGTTTCCAGGACCCTGACTGCTAAATTGGCATTGCACTGCATGAGCATGCCAGACTGGAGTCTTGGTTGCAATCCATATTTGTGCCATAGGCCAGCTCTGGCTCTGACATCCTGTATAGTGCAAGAGAGTACATTACTATGCAAAAACAGTTGTAGTGACTTGTGAAGTCATGTTTTGTGGCCACTGTAGAAATGACTACCGATTGATAAATTCCCAGAAAGATTGTTTGTAATATCTTTGGAGTCACAAGAAAATAATACATTAAGAATATTTATGCTCTCTGCTGCTTGTCTGTAGCTGCATATCACTTAAGCAATGTTTCTGTTTCTCAGTGCTCTTTCTTCAAAATCTTAGTAACTGACAGCTAAAGAAGGATAAAACTTTGTAATCATGAAACAATGAACAATTTACCATGGAACAGATTTAACAGAAGCATCAACTTTACTGTAATGTTGATTAGATACTGGTCAGGCATGTTTGGATAAATTAATATTTATGTGGGACAAGTTAAATAAGCCAAAAGGAGGAAAGTACAGTCCCTGCATTTGTAGAAAGCTTCTGCTACCAAAATTCAGGTTGCAGCTTCAGTGGGGTTACAGATGGGCAGCTACATACCTCAGTCAAATCAGAAGTCTTGACTTTCTTTAAAACTGTAGCAGCAAGTATTGCAATTTTAGTTGTGTTAATAAGAAGCATTCTTCTGCATTTGATTTCACTGTCATTGATTTTGAAATTAAAATAATAAACTCAGAAATCCAAAAGTACCTGTAATTTTTGTGAATTAGATGTATTCTTTCTGATGTTTGATGGCTCAACTGAAGTGATTCTTACTTACTTGGTTTCAGTGAAATTATTACTGTCGTGGTTTAATGCTTCTCAAATCCCACATTTGCAGGTTTTATCTTTTATTGACACAACAATAAATAGAGCAATGACTTCATAACTTAAGGTGTACAACTAGTAGGGCATTGTAGGGGAGACTGCACAGCTGATTATTTGTTCATGTAACTGATTCTTGTGCATATGCATGCTATGAAAGTCAAAGCCAGTAGAAATAAATTGGTTTTACTGGATACTTAGTTGGCTTTAAGGCCTAATAAAACCAAATCATTAAACTGAAGAGAAATCCTTAGGTTTATGATCTGAAAAATACTCTTCTGCAAACCAGTGAAGTCTTCAGCATCAAAAGTTCTGGTAGACAGACTGTGAAAACAAGGAGTTCACAGTTTTTAGTAAGGAGGAGAGATAAAATTTAATATTGTGACCATGCCAAACCAAACACCATAATAAATTAATTTTAGCATTGCACATCTACGGAGCTGCCACAGCTTTATATACTCTTGTACCTTTGATTTGTAGTGTATTATCTAGTTAGTAATTTCAAATTTCACAATAAATTTATTGGGCATTTTTGTTAATAGATATGTTCTTTCCTGTTCTTGTGAACTGTCTTTTGGGTTCTCTTTTGACATCTAATATTACTTTACGTAGTTGTTTATTCAGCTAGGTGGAGGGGTTTCATTACAGCATTTTCCTAGTGTGGTGTGCAAGTTTGTGAGAATATTTGCAGTTCTTTTTACAACTAGGTAATGTTCTACATGTTCTTCAGTTTTGTTGAAAACCTGTTTATATCTGAATAAGTTCAGTGCCCAGAAAAATGTCAATGTTGAATATAAGAGGATCTTTGATACTGAGCCACATGTATGACATGTTGAGTAATTAGGATTTGTAGCAAGTATCTTTTACTTTTAGCATCTGTTCACAAAGGTCAACTTCTCCAGTATAACAGGTCAGGAAATGGAACTTAACTTACTTTATTTTTGTGCTAAATGTTTACCTAAAGGAACCAGCAATGAAACTAAAATCAACTTGTATTACTATAATGTGCCTATTATAATTTGCCTTCTGGATATATAAGAAATAAGCATAAAGGAATAATTTTATTTTTAGAAAAAAAGTCTCTGGTTGAGGCATTATAAGAGATATGTAAGTGTTGATTAGATAAAAACCCCAACAAACAAACCCAGCCCTGATTCATCTTCTGAATTACTTAACTTTGAAAATACATATTGCCACCTAAATTTTCAGTCATCTGATTTCCTTTAGTTTATGTGCATAGCAGAAATTATGATAATTGCTGACATAAAGGTGAGGTGCTTTTTCTGCTGTAGCAATGGAAGAATGGAGGACTAATGAGTGGGAAAAACTTGGATTTAATTTTGCAAATATTTTTCTGACTGCGTACTTCTGGCAGGGGTGAATTTTATTGGCTCAGGACAGCTATGCAGCAAGGAAAGTTTTTGAATTACTGCTTTTCTCTAAATGATAGGTCTTTGATTAATTATTGAGAAGTGGTTGCTAGATAATTGCTAAATTATTAAATTGCTTTCATGTCCCACTGTTTCCTATGTAACAAGAGTCTTGCTTTTTACACTAAAGAATTTTTTTGGCAACTTGCCACATCTCAGGGGCTGCTCACACTCTCTTTAGAATTTAGTAATAGAATGGTAAATGGATATTGTGGATATATATATCCACACTTCTGGCTCAGCTAATCATCCATAAGAAAATGTTTATTTGTCTACTTTCCTCACAAGTTGATGAGAACATCTTGATGTAAAGAACATTTCTGTAATGATGAGATTATACTAAGTGTTGCAATTCCTGTCTGGGAACAAAGTCTTTGCTGGAAAAAGGAAGCACTTGAATTCATATATTTATCTTTGATTCCTAATGTTGGATGAGAAAGTCAGCTTTAACCATTGTGTTTCATTCCCAAGTTAGGAAGAAACTGTTTTTCAGGTCATGTTTGGGCTGCTCATTTATATATCTTGTGTCTCATTGTGTACTTAAGATAAATTTTGCATAGCTTGGAAGATGTTTTAATCATGTATTTATTTTGGATTTCTAATTGGACTTGCACTACTTGCAATTATTTAATTGTAATTTGTAAATTTTCAGTTTTCTGGCTCATCTGAACAAGAAGGCAGATATAGTAATCATAAAATTTAGATTAGAGTCCAAGCTGTTGTATTGTTATGAATGTAGCATCCAATTTACAAACAAAAATAATTTTTCTTCAACATTTCTAATATTTTAAATGACTAAAAAGCAAATTTCTGATGTCATTGATGACATTTTAAAAATGTTGCTGACTTTGTTAAATGAATGTTAAGAATCTATTCCATGAGCTGCTGAATATCCTCTGTTCCTGTTGACATTTGTAGAAATTGAAAATCCTTTAGCACCTTGTATAGTCAAGAATGATGAGGATTTCCCACAACAAAGATAGGAAATAGTCTCACATCTTTTGAGTATTGAATGTTAATTAATAAGAATTATTCTAGACACTGATGTTTACAAGTAGAGCTACCAGTTTTGAAAGTGACTTGTAAACAGTCACTCCTTGTATCCATTTTGAAAAGGTTACAGTTAGAAAGATCTTTCCTGGTTTTCTCTCATTTTTAAAATAATTTTCTTTAGGGGTTTTTAGGTTTTTTTGCTTCAGTTTTGTTTTTTTTTTTTTTTTGCAATAAGAGTAGGAATAAAAGGTTTTGAGTAACTGTTTTGTAGGTTGTCCATTCTTTTTGCATCAACATTAATTATTCTTGATGTATTTGTCCTATAGAAACCTTGTTGCCATTGTGGACAGATGGAGTTGTCTTTTATGTCAGGAGTGTAATTTTTTCATGAGCACTTGATTAAAGGTTCTTTTTTGCTCCTTTTATTTAAAAGAAAATGTGAAAGGAAGAGTGAAAAATAACTCTCATAACAAGATACTGAATTTTTAAAAAAATATATGCTCCATTAGAGACTTGGATTTTACACCACCAGACAACTAAATACTGACATAGAGTTGGTTTTTTTTACCAATGTATTGTTTTCTCAGAACATTTTCCTTTTCTTCAAAATGAAGGCTGAATAGGATTCAGGAATTTGGTTTAAGTAACTGAAGTTATAAACACTTTGAACTTTTAACATAGAAAACTTTGAAAAAGAACTGCGTGGTAACAAACTATGCATTCAACCTCAACAATAAAAATACAGAATCATTTGGATATATCAGATAGTCTTGGTACACAAATATCATGGGAACCATATAAGAAATAGAACCGGCAATGTATAAATATCCCAGTCTCATGTCTGCCTAAAAGGAAGGAAACAACAGATTTGGAATTATTTTCTAGCCTCCAGACACACTTTTTCTAACCAGCTCCTACATGTGGTGAACTCCTTTGCTACTTTGACTGCAGAAGCACCATGGGTGGGTTTCTGTTCCTCTAAGAAAAGGCAGTTCAGGTTCTCATGAGCGACATTAAGCAGAATGTTAATGCTTGCTTAATGTTGAAACACCTGGACAGGACTTGGCTTGAAGCAGCTACTGCTGTGACTCTTTAGAAGGTGATATATTCTGCTGTTGTGGAGATGAATTTCTTCCACAGAAAAAGAGAGAGGGTGTCCCCATGCTCAGGCACGTTACAGGTGCTTGATTGCTACCTATCAGTACAGTATATTAGTACAGAAGTGCAGTTAACGTTTCAGCAGTTGCGCACTCCTTGTTCCAGCTGAAGAACTTTGGTTCATGCTCCACAGCCGCTCATTTTATAAAGTAGGGGATAATTAAGACAGTTATGTCTCTTATTTTGAATACTTTATCTAGTTACATGTTTTAGTGAGACATCCAGAGTTTCAGGAATATTTATAAGTGTATAAAATGCTCATAAATTGATAAAAGTATATTCAGTACAATTTATATAGGAGACAACATGTTTCTACCTCTTTAGCTCTTGCTTTAGCTTTTTGACTTAGAAAACTCTCATTGGTTCTATTTGTTAGATTTTTAAAGAATGTATATTAAGTAAAATATAGAATGAAGCTATTGAATCTGTTATCAAAAAATGGGTTCATTGTATGCTTCTATGTGAAGTGATACTTCTGTTGATTCACAGTAGAAGTTTCTCACAGAGATGTGCTAGCTATGCTAAAGAAATATGGGAGTCTGAACAACCTTTCATGGCCACTGAGGAATAACTAGGATTTAATTTGTTTATTTGAATGTTGCAGTGACAGTTCTACTTAAAATGTAACACATTGGTAATTTTAAGATCACTTTAATATGCATGCAAAGAAATGAAGAAATGAATGTATGATGTTTGGTTTTTTTCAGACTTGTTATGGGTGGTCTTTTAGCAAGTACGAACTGACATTTTCAGCAAAATATGTTTAATAGACTACTTTAATGTAATACATATATATTTTAATTTCCCTTTTCTGTTAGCTCTCTGAGAAATATGGAGTCCATGTTTGCGGAGAAGGTGGAGAATATGAAACATTCACTCTGGACTGCCCTCTGTTTAAGAAGAAAATAATTGTGTAAGAAAGAGTTTCTTCTATTTCCTTACATTAAAGCAATGGAAATATATTAAAATTTAGCTTGAGACAGCTAGAGGTAAAAGGTAAAACATGGCATTGGCAGAGGTAAAACACATTCTTTAGGTTCACAGGCACTCACTTTGTTTAACACGGACAAAGTCCTCTGAAAACCTAAATCAATACCTGACAAGATGAGGCCTTCATAGAGGGCTATAAACTTTTTAGACATTTGCACTTTCGTTTACTTGCTGATTATGGCCTGCAGTAAAACTGGTACCTACACGTTGACACTTTTATTCTTTCATGAAGTGCGAATTGCCTGTAATATTTATCTTTCATTACAGCTAAATTTGATAAACTGCCACATCAGTAGCCTGTGGTGTTCCATTAACTATTTGTGTATGGGGGTGTATGTGTAAGTTTAGCAGCTTAGAATGATAATGATAAATATTTTTCTGCAAAGTATTCTAAATACAGATTTGCATGAATCTATCTCAATTACACTGAATAGTTTATTCCTGTGATATAAATTGCTAAAATCTATGTTGTGAGATAGGGAAAATATTTGTGTCTCGATACAAGTTTCTTATGAGCCTGTTAAATAGCTAAGCTTGCATGCTTCAATTGAGATATTTTAGCTGCTGTTCCTTCTGTTAACCAAGTAAACAGGCTAGTAACCATGTGTTGGTGATTGATTCTCAGTCATCTTAGGGAAGGTCAAGATTACAGAGCATATAGATGTGATTATGACTTTCGTGGTGAAGGTCTATTTTTTTTAAATTTACTAGGTGTTCTTTAAATTCATCAGACATATACATTTAGTAACGCTAAATTTGGAAGTTTTTCTTTCTGTTATAAGCTTTTCTGCTAATTTAGTTTTAAGCAGTTAATGCGTGTCTGAACAGTACCAGATTTCCCCCATTCAGGACTTGAACAACAAGCAAGAAATGTTGAGTGAGAATGTACTCAGACACTGAGGATCCCCCAGTACGAGGTACTACTGGAGTACTGGTGTCTGGTTTTATTATTTTTAATGATTTATTCCTGTTAATAAAGTTTTCCAAAGTTATTTTCTACCTATTTCTGTTAGAATTAGTAGACATGATCGTCATTTCAAAAGAATGATTTTAAGCTTTAGGTACCATCTATAAAGTATCTTACATTTTGATCTTAAATATAAACAATATTGTAATCATAAAGGGTATGATAGTAATGTGAAGAATGAAGCTGAGGTGTATTTATCAAAATACTTTAAAGGTTTGCTAAAAGAGAAGTGGACCTTCTTTTGTTAAAGGTATTTATCATAATTGTGCAATATTTTGTTATTTTACATCGCAAAACACATTTTATGGAACAGATATTTCTGTTAATTTTACACTTTCCTTAAGGCAGTGGAATCTGGCCAAGACTTCAACTGCTTTGAGTTTGCACAGTTTTTATGTGGCATTACTAGAAATCTATCTTTATAATCTCATTGAACAATGCGAAGGTACCAAGGGCACTGTGGTTTCAAAAAACTTGGGTGTCCTTAGCCTTATAACAGTTTTCAGATTTTCTTATACTGCATCTGAGTTTCTCTTATGTTTTCTTTGCGTTTCTCACCTTCTGATGTTTGTTTCCTAGAGCTACCTTTTCCTTAAGTAGGAAAATCATGCAGATGGATATAACAGATACTGCCTCTTGTGAATCAAAGTGTGACAGATTGTGTCTGTAAAAATGAAAACTAAAATTAACTAATTTGAATCAGCACACAGGAAGTTTATCATTGTTACCAACACATTTGGCATTAAAAAGTTGTGTCTAGTAGTCTTCACTATCAGATGCAAGATGGTTGAATCAGTCAGTTTCTCAGTGTGAAATACTGTATGTTCTTCAAAAACTAATCCCTGGAGCATTAATCAAAACAATCAACTTTTAAAAAATGTTGTGTTGATGAAATTAAAAGATTGCTTTACATATTAGTCTCTAGGATGTAAAACATAATGTAATTTATGCCTTCATAGACTACAGCTAACTGAATTCTCTCAGTTCTGGTCTGGAAGTGTGGGAAAATAACAAAAGATTGGCAAGTGACTTGCAGCTGGGGTGTTGAAAAACACATGTATCATACTAATTGTTGTTTGGCCTTGCATGTTGGGCAAGTAGTGTGTCTGTGTTTAGATAACGTAGGCTTGTGATGGACTTAGGGACACCCTTTCAAACATGCTTGAGATTCCTGCCCTGCTGTGGGAAAGATCAAAGCACAGGGGTATATTATGCCTGTGTAAATCCCTGAAATACAGGCAAAACCAGCAGGTTTGATGATCCTCTAGCATGGACTGAGTCTTTGTGGTGCCCGTGTCCCTTCGTGTGTGCCTCTGCCCGAATGCTGCTTCAGGGATCCTAGTGCATTTCATCCCTGGTTGTGTGGTTGTTCCTGCATCCTGCCTGTGCCAGCTCACACAGGAAGCTTGTTTTATCCCTTTTGAAAATTCTTGAAGATAATGTGTTGTTCAACGTATGACTTTATATAGCAAACTACCTTTTCTTAATTTATATGAAAGCATGGATAAAAAAATTAACAGATTTTCAATGAATTACCATGGAGTCTGTGTTATACAATGACTAAGTATTGTCTCTATATAAAATGATATATTAATATTTGATGATAAAAATCTTGTATTTCAGAGATTCAGCCAAGGTAGTCGTGCATTCAGCTGATGCTTTTGCACCTGTGGCCTACCTTCATTTTTCAAAATTACACCTGGAGAATAAGGCAAGTTCATTGCAAATGTTGTCTTCTTTTAAAGCTATATGCATGCTTTCTATTTTTTAGTTGCTTTGGCACAGTTTGAAGTGAACCTACGTATTCTCATGTGGGTGTATTTTCAAATATCAATGTACATATTTAGTTGAATTTCGGAACTTACTATAAGGAAAGATGGAATACAAATGCTTCCTTCTGTCAAATGAATGAATGGAGGTAGAATATTTGTGTGGCATTTTTCATCTTGAAATCTCAGCGTTCTCATCCAACATGGTTCAGACAAGCACATGTGTAACCTGTGTAGTACAGCTAGCCACACTGTGGAAAACAGCTGTATTAGGAAACTGCATGAACAGTGTTGGTTCTCTGGGAGGTGGCATCTCTTTTTGCTGTTTCTGTTGTAAAGTGGGTGATGTAAAAACTTGCTAACCTACAAGTGCTTGAGTTTTGAATGTATAGGTTTTTTCCATAAGAAAGATACATCTAATGAATGACTTCAAATCATATAAAGGAGATTATCTAGGTCAAAAATCTAAAATGAACTATTATTGCTTCACTGGGATTAATTCTCTTAGTGTATGATTCTATTGAAACAGCAGAACAGGAATAGGAACTCCAGTGGTTTAAATGTTGTAGACTTTAATGTGAGCAGAGCTAAGGTCAAAATGTAAATTATTTTTCTTAGTATTTGTCATTGCTTTTCTGGTTTTATTTTTATTAAGTTATGGGTAAAATGAATTTTTTTTCTTCCTGGATCTATATAAGAACCAGTATTTTGTTGAAGAGAGAGCCTCATGATCTTTCTTCTACTGTAGCAGTCATCTTTTTATCAGTCTTCCTACTTCTTTCTGCACTTTGAAGGTACAGGTACAGGGATCGTTATAGAACACTATTATATTGGTATTTCACATTTCATGTCTCTTGAGCAACTACATTTCCTGAATGTCTTTCAATAAATCATGCCTTCTCCCTTCCCCCTCCATTTTGTTTCTTTTAATTTTATTGTTCCAAACAGATAAAATACCTCTATGTTTTTCTTCCATTATGGCCTCATTCTTGCCTTGGAAAGTACATTATATTTCATGCTGTCAATTTCTAGTTTGGGATTTCTTTCAAAAATAAAACATTAAATATTTGTGTGGGAGACTGTGAAAAGGATATCAACTAACTATATGAAGCAAAACCAAATAGGCTGAATAACGGAAAATTTGAGAATGGGGCATGGTGGGGAAGAGCGATAATGTATTAATATTTCTTTGGGGGCACTGACTTTATTGCTCATGGCAAACTTGACGCTAAAATCTACCATACATCACTACAGTGTGACAGGCTAGGGAAAAGGAATACCACAAAGCTTTACATAAATCAGGAAAAAAATCATATTAAAATGCATAACATTTTATGTAAGAATCAAGATTTTACTTTTATCT